ACCCACATGTAAAGCTTAGGATCTTTGGGTGGAAAGTAAGAGCGCTCACTCTGTTCCTTTTGGTGGGTTGCCAATATCCGTCCAGGCATTCTTTTGACAGTTAAAAAAGTGGTGTTTTTTTTTTTTTGTCAATAAAACAATCCATTTTCTGTTTTCAGCGATGGTAGTTGCTTGCTGTTGCTCCAGATGACAGACCGTCATCTACATATGGGTGTATACCTCTTCCTTTCTGTGGGGGAATCACTTCCAAAGGTCTGAAAAGTGGATTTTCTTATCTGCTTTCAAAACGATGAAAAGACGGATTGTTATTTTATACTTTAGTGTTAAAAGAAGAAGGAGAAGAAGACCAACAGGCCAGGAATGGGTAGGGAGTGGAGAGGCAAATATGAAGGGGTGGGAGGGCGGGATGGAGGAAGGGGGGTGTCGAGTTGGGGTTTTTGGAATTCGGTCTGTGTTTGGTTTGGAAGCGAAGACCCCGTCTCTGGGCTCTCTGGTGGATAATGGAAAAGAGAGGGAGAAGAAAGAGAGGTTTATGGATGTGTGTGTGTGTGTGTGTGTGTGTGTGTGTGTGTGTGTGTGTGTGTGTGTGTGTGTGTGTGTGTATGCCCTCGCAGGTGGTCGGTACAAGCTGATGGAAGGAGTGCGGTGGGGTCTCTAAGTGTCTCAAAACGTGTGCGCTCGCTCAACCGTGTCGACACGCCGGCGTTCAGGTGCTGCAGCAAACAGATGGGAGTTGTGGCCGTGTCAGAACGAGAGCGCGGAGACGCACAGAGGAGGTGAATAAGACATTCCTGAGACGGCGGAGGAGGAGGAGGACGGGGAGGAGGAGGAAAAGGGGGATGCAGGGAGTCAGTGGTTAGTTGGTGGTTTGAAACTAAGAGGAGAAAAATGACTGCTGGGTCCAGGGTTGGGCCCAAAATTGTTACCACAACCAGCCAGCGAGCCAGGGGGAAGCAGAGGAAAACACAGTCAAAAAAGAAAAAAAAAGTTATATAGGAGGAGAAGCGAAAAAGGGCCTCCTCCTCCTACAGGAGGGCCTGCAGACTCCGTCCTGTGCCGCAGGGGGAGAAGACGAGGGGGAGCGGTGCTTTTATAGCTGGGCTGAACCCACTGAACCCATCATGTACAAACAGCAGAGAAAGTATGGAAACAACAGAGGCCTGAAGGCTGCAGTCACCCAGGGAGCTTCCAACAGGGGGGCTTCAGGTTAGGGACCAGGACTGGACACTCCAGAGCCATGACAACAGAGTGTCATTGTAGCCACTTTTAAACAACTTACTTCAACTGATAAACTTCATTTTGGTTTGACTTTGTGTTTAAGTCTACCTTCTTCTGTCAGCGCGTTTCTTTGCCTTTTGTCTGATTTTTGGGACTATTTTTCTTCCTTCATATCGGTTTAGTGCTTGTCGTGTCTTGCCAAAGTACACACAACGAGTGTATTTTATCTGACAATGTATTTTAGAATAGAGCAAGACAAAGTGGTACAGAATTGCAAAAATGAAACAAAATAAAATGACACATAGTTAGAATGTTTTTTACGGACAAAAGTTTACAGCCCCATTTATCCCGACACCTCTAAATAAAACCCTGCACAACTAATTGCATCAGAAAGCAGAAGTCAAAACGGCACATACATACATAAATACATACATACATATATATATATATATATATATATATATATATATATATATATATATATATATATATATATATATATATATATATATATATATATATAAAAAACAATTGGCCAATTGGTGCTGGCTAGTCTGAAGGAGCGGAGTGGGGGAGTCGCAGAAGCTCAGAAGCTTCAAAACTTTAGCTCAGAAGAGGGGCTTCGTCCTTGAAGGTGAATATCTCAACGGTTGTCGTGGGAAACTAAAGGATTTCTCAAACAAGCATGACAGAATCAAAGCAACACTCCAGGTATGTTTATGATGAGAGAATAACATTATAACATGATGTAAAGTTCAAAAAAGTTGATTTTACACATCATCACTTCAACAACACTGCTGCTTTTTAGTTTATCTGTTTTCTTCTCTATGTAGATTTTGGAAGAGGTTTACTTAGGAAAAAATATTGCAAAATTCCTCACAAATATTCCTAAAGCAGCACCAAAAAAATTTTTGATTTTGATTGCAAAAAGTCACAACAACCAATCATGAAATCCTGGAGGGACTGCTTAGAGAACAAACAGCCTCCTGAAAACCAAGCAGCAAACAAAACGGGGAGAAAGTTTAAAGCAGAAACAAATGCAGAAACCACTAAAAGAGATCTGGAAACTCTCAGGTGGAACAACATGTTGACAAACCAGCTATTACCATGCCGTCCACAAAGCTGGCTTTCATTGAAGGGTGGTCAGAAGAAAAATATAAGAAGTCCCATTTGTAGTTTGCTACAATCCATGTTGGGGACACAGGGTGATCAGATTAGATAAAAAAATGTCACCCCAAACACATCAGCCCCACCTCGTTCGACCACTGCTGTGGGAATGCTTCTCTGCAGCAGTGACAGGGAAATTGGTGCGAGACGATGGATGGAGCTAAATACTGTAAATAGAGCTGAGAGAGGCCGGGAGGTTCGCTGTCCAGCAGGGCAACAACCCCTAAATACACAGCTCCGGCTATAACGGAGTGGTTTACATCAAAGACAATTCTTGCATTTGGTCTCATTGAAAATCTTTGACATACCTTGGAAACGTTGCTGTTCCAGAGTGCTTCCCTTCCGATCCGAGATTTTTGAGACTTTTGAAAAGAAAAATGGGCCAAAACATTAGTTACTGGATGTACGATGACGGTAGAGAAATACCCCAGCTAAGAGGTATTGCTGTAAAAAGTAGATTTCTAATGTGTAGCAAAAGTTTAAAGAACACATTCAATCATTGGTCTGTCACATGAAATTTTTATCAAATATATTGAACTTTGTTGTTGCAACACGATGCAAAATGCAGAAAAAAAATATTGATTGGCCCAGGATTTTGTCACATCTATAAAATTTATGTTCAGTCTTCTACAGCATTTCTTCCCTAAATCCTACACTCCTCCCTCTTTCTTCACTTGTTGACTGACTTCCAAGCACTTCTCTCTTCGTTCTGTCTTCTCCTCTATCTTGTTTTCTGCATGACCTGACTCTTTACGGACGCACAAAAACACACAGATCCCATATGTACCAAAAGAGGAGTGTTCCCCGTAGCTGGATAAGGGCGGTAAGACAGACAGATGGAGGAATGACAGGAAAGGAGATTGCTTGGCTCTGGTTCTTTAAGGAAAATCCACACAACTGTGTCTGGCCCAGCCTTTAGAGAGCTACATGATGCAAGGAGGCTGCAACCTGCACATTTCTGGCTTTACAAGAATCGCCCCCACACAGCCAGCTCTGACCACCTTGTTGCAAATTTTGGGGAATTCTGTGGTGCCGATTAACTCATAGGTCATTACCAACAAACGCCCTGCCTTTTGGGAATAAGTGCAAATAAAATCTACATGTGCTATCCTCGAGGAGGTGTTAAAATTTTCAGGAGTAATGATGTCAAAGATTAGGGAAGTCCGTGTTTGCCCATCCATACATACATTAGATGCTACCGTTGAAGAAACGCCTTAGGCAGATTGAGTTGGGATCTCAACAAAGGTGTTTACTTCCCAATTTACTTATAGTAAGCCTATTAATAACTTGGTAGCACAACTGTGTCCTTAAGGCTGCACATTATTGGTTGCTGTGCATTAGTGTCACAACAAAAAAATGCATTACTCAAAGTTATTACTGCTAACAGGAAGTTCAATAAGCTTTTGAATCTACTTAAACTTTATGTTTCCAGAAAAAAAATATTTCTGTGAAAAATTGTCAATATGATTTCCCAAGGCGGATGTCTTCAGATAAACGACCCATCCCATGATGGTGAACCAACAGAGAGAAACTCCTTTCCCTGAGCTCAGGTACAGAACCTACTTTCTGAGCCGGACCCCCGCTCACCATCCACCAGCAATCTTGAGCTAACAAGCTGTACATTTTAAAATAGCGTGACAAAAAAGAAGCATGTATGTTAAAGCCGAACGACATCATCAGTGCAGCCATTTTTTTCAAGTCAAGACTCCGATTTGACTCAAGTCCAAGTCATATGACTCGAGTCCACACCTCTGATAATTAGGACCTGAAAAACTCTGAATCCTTCTTATTATGTTCTTTTATATAAAACGCTAAAACTGAAATCTGTTATCGTTTCACAACTGCAATGCGGTTCCTATGGTGATTCCCACTTTTTCTGGGGAGCAGGGCAAATAAATACATCATCCCTTTCACTAGTAACACAAGCAGAAGCACTAAGAAAAAAATTGTTTTTGACAATTCAGACATTGTATAAAAATGATAACTTACAGAAAAGTCCCAGAAAAGTAGCTTTTTATCAACGCGGGTTTTTAATTTTTTTCCCAGATTAGGAGGACCGAGTATGACTGATATCTGAATCTCAGAAAAGGCTGTTTTCAAATCTTTTCCAGTCATCTGAATGACAAAGTTTTCTTGGTTTTGTTTTATGTTTGAAGCGAAACAAAACATCTCTAATCCTATCCTGCTCTGAAACAACACCAGTAGGCCGAGAATACAAGCTTGTGGAACTCCTTTTTTATGGCGAGCAAGTATAAAATGTGAACAGTTGCAAATGTATCATTCCTAAAAGAATCTGCACATTTGACACTGTTCTCCATAAAAAAAATGTCTTTCTATATCACAAAACTGTACAAAATCAAATACGAAAACAACATAGAATGGCTTTTAACTTTTTTCTCAACCTTTATCTTTTTTTTTTTTACTTTTATGTCACCTTTTTTCTAAAAGAAAGAATGAATTTTCAAGGTGATTTTTTTATATATAGAAAAAATGAATTTCCAAGGTGAGTTTCACCTTTTACATGTGTAGTGTAACCTTTAAACTTGATTTACATGTGTACATATTTAAGGAGAACTATCAATTTGCCTATGCTTTATTATTGATCGAGTGTTTACCTTTTAGGAGCGCCTCCGTTGCTTCTGTAGTTTGTTAGGAGATGCTGTCGTTGTCTTCGAGAACAATAATAATAATGATAATAATAATAATTTTTTTTTTTTTAAAAAAAAGTCAAAATCAAGCCAGTTTGTGTGGCTCTCCTTGTAACATCTCCCAGTGAGCTACCAGTTGCAAATCGGTTCTCTTTAAGGATAAACAAAAAAATAGTTAGAATTAGTGTCTGCAGCGAATAAAGTGGTCAGTTTTCAGGTAGTTAACAAAAAACCTTGTCAAAGAAATCGTTTCTGTCAAAATTACACTGCTAAAAAATAATAAGAAGAAGAAACACTATTCAAAGACAAACAAACACAAGAAAAACTGTCACTCGGGTTTGAGTGATGTAAATATGAAGTCGTCCACAGATAATAAGGCGGAGGTTTTCCTGGAGGTGCATCGCCCAGTTGCGACGCTGGTCAACTGAAGCACAGAGGAGCGGGGAGCGGAGAACAGGCTGTCCGAGAGGAGGAGGCTGACAGAGGGCGGAGAAGAGGAGGAGACGCGGCCTCTGCCAGCTGTTCTGACTCTGAGTGGGAGGCAATAATACATACCTTTAAGTTGCATAACGTCTTTCAATCCAAACGATTTGGAAGATTTTTAGAAAAAAAAAAAGGTTTTATTAAACTCAAACACTTCGATGCTCTAGATGTCAAAGGAACAATTCACACGACAAAGAGGCAACCCAGACACACTCCGTTTCTAACACAAAGTCTGTAGTTCGGCATCCAAGTAATTGCTTCAGCGCGCGTTGCCACCCTCTAGTGGTCAAAGCACAACACTACACCAGAGAATTTTATAAAAACTAGTTTTTGGCCTGCCACAAAAAAATAACATAAAACCAAAAGTCTTTTCCTCTACTTTTGGTTTGACTCAAGGTAAACCATTTTTTGCATAGAGCAGACTATTATCCAGTTATATTGGAAAGGTTTCTGCTATGTATTTTTTGTTTATTATTATTATTATTATTATTATTATTATTATTATTATTATTATTATTATTATTATTATTATTATTATTATTATTATTATTAATTCCAAAAAAACAGTGGCATTTATTTGGGGAGAAGGAAGGCTACCAAAAATTAATCTTCCTGTTGAAACTGTATAGGGGTAAAAGTAACCACACTCTGACAATAACTTTTTCTTTTTGGCTGAAATTGAAATCTTTACTAGGTTCTAACTATAATCATCCAATTTAACAGAAATAAATACTTGAGAGCAATCCAGCCACTTTTCATATTAATATAACCTGGTTGTTCACTCAAATCCACTCAATTCTTAGATCTTTGCAACATTTTGTGAAGATGTCATTGGTTGCTGAAGAATTTCTAACCTGCTGAAGGTTTCAATGAGCCCATATGCAGAATTGGAATTAACACGATGAATAATGTGGATGTTTGTACACACGTAGGGAGATATACAAGGTGAACATTTCCCAAACACATAGCAAAGGAAACTCTTGACTGGTTTTAGAATAAGACAAATGACTCTTCTGGATCAGTACAGCTCAGTGGTTCCAACGTCCGCCTTATTTTGCAACCCACCGCCGTAACAGTTGCATGCATCACAACTTCTGCATAAATACTTGCGGATTGTGCTCACACACGCATACCTATTTATACATTCATGCTGAAACAAGGAAACGTTGTTGGACTTTAGCTGTTTGTTCAATTCAAGCTCAATTAAAAGGTTCCTCATGCAAACCTTGTTGTCTCCT